TGTCTCTTTGACCAGTTGTTGTATGGTTCTAAGGATGGCGATATTCACTGACGATGCCGACTACGATGCCGGCGAAACGTTTGGGAATGTACTACTTCCACCGTTCGACTTTGGAAATGATCATGCAGAAAATGGACTCCGGACTAGGTGCGTTCCTCTAAGTCTTTCTACCAATATGACCATGTTTCAAAACCAGGTCAAACAACCTCTATCGTTAACCAAGTTGTCCTGCTCTGACGATGTGTCACATGACGGATGTAACCCCAGCAAGGATCCATCGGGGTGTCATGGCGGTGCACAAATCTACAAGCCTAGCTCCAAAGCAACCCACCACAGCTTCCAGTGGAACCAACTTACGAAGCCCTTCCGCTCGTCTCTTCAAACTAAATGAAAAGTACTCCAACATCAACCTATTAAGGGATTCTTCGAAACCCAGTTTTTATACATGCCAACGTGGTTTGATTTCGTTTTCGTAAATTTGTTCTGTCGTCGAGACGACCTAGGTGAGCATAACGCGTCATCACCAAAAGTACTTATGATAATTTCCTGTGACTCACTCTATTTTTATACTTAACATCGACATCGTCAGTAAGTCATCTCACTCTTAGCACTATTGTACAAATCGTCATAGCGGCAAGAGTATGGGCAGAGCTCATGCTCGTCATTTTCAGCCTCTGTGCATTTCATTAGCCAGGTCTTTAGGTAAAGCCCACCTCAGATGACTCCATATCATAGGAGTTCAGTGTCTCAACTTTTTTCACGTCTCTATCTTCGTCCGGCCTAGTTTCCACCTCAAAACCCTCGCGGGCCGAATTTCTTCTACCTTGGGCTCGATGATCCTCTACAGGTTTGCCAGTTAGCTGGGTCATTCGTCGCCGATTAATCAGGCGTATTCTGCAAGATCGGCAATATCAAAGAGAGCTAATCCCATTTCCAAGATGCTGCTCTGTCTCTGACTCATTCCTATACAGAAACACTAAATTGGAGCATTTGGAACAATGCTTATTACAGATTCGTGTGATCCGTACCAATTTGACTACGAATCTCAGACACCTGCAGACTTAAGCCATTTTTGGTGATTTCGTTGGGAACTCACATTTAGTCGCCCCGTTTACCTTCCTATTAATAATGTAGCATTAAGTTAATGGTTATCAAAAATCGTATTGTTTACAAGGTACCGAGATTTTCATTTGGTTTCACAGGGACCGAAAACACTTGTACCTATATTGAACTAGGATAGCTTGAGCTTAGGTTTAAATTCATAGAATTACTTTCTAAATGACACTATATTCTCGAATGGATTGTAGTCCTGTCCTCGGACATTAGCAATTTATTAAATAGCTTATTTTCATAAAAAAATAAGACCTAGTCAACATTTCGCTGCGAAGAGATCGCTATCACTCCCTGGAATGCCATGAGAAAAACTCTGCCGCTTAGAAAATTTAACATTATAATTTCATCTAATGAAACCATTGAAAGGGAATGTTAAGGACAATAATGCTTGAGAAATATTTTCCGATCAAGGTTCAAATGATCCTTCAACATTATTAATGGTTGAATATAACAGAGTATGTTCAATATTTCATGTCCCAATATCGGAGAGGTCAAGGGTCAGCTGTAGAGAAAGTCAAATTTAATTAAAGGCATGAAGACCAAGATGGTGTGGCCTTTTGTGCGGTCGCAGTCTCCTTTCGTTGTATAGAAGTTGTTTGACCTTGTTTTCGCAATTTGGTCACAATGGTAGGAAGACCTAGATGAACAAACCTAGTCCGGAGTTCATAGTATGCATGAAAATTACCAGTTGGTGCATTTCTCTAAGTCTTCCTACCATTATGAGCAAGTTTCGAAAACAAGGTCAAACAACTTAAATTTAATTAATTCTGAGAAATCAAGAAACACCTATCTATTATTAGTTCCAGTATAATACAATAGAAGATCAGAGCCACAATAAGTCTATATTACAAACATAAGCCGTGAAAAGCCTGAATTACCTATTTACACAAGCTCTGGTGCTTACCAGAGCTCATTCACAACCAGCACTTTCCGGATTATGGTTCCGCAGAGAAACAATTTGCAGTACCTTCTGTATGGCGAAATAATTTTTTTATACAAAAAGTTCGGAGTTCGATGATTGATTGATTGATGAAATTGTTCTCGTTAAAAAACTGTCGTTGTATCGCATCTAACATTCTCATGAATGCCTCGAAGCAGCAGTTAATTAGTCTGTTAGAATGACCCTCTGGCTATAAAAGCACGAAAAGTATGAGATATTTCTGCTCTAATTTCAGCCCCAGCTTCTTTAATGCAAAGTAATTTTGGTAATAACAAGTCTTAAAATTTCGCTTGAATGTGATGAAATAAGTGACTCTATGGAATTGGCTCCCTCGGGACACAAAATTGGGTAAAGGAAATAAGGATTTCCAGAACTCTACAAACCCAAAACTTAATTATTGTTTATTCACTAGTGTGCAAATGAATTTTTTTCAAATTATGAATCAGATGGCAATGTTTCATCCATAGCCTGAATAATCGGTTGCCTTAAAACGCCAATTACTCAAATGTGCATCATGAAATTTATGGATCGCATGATTCTTCAATAATGTAGGCATATCATGTCCCAGATAGATGGCAGGAGGCCTCAAAGAGTTAACGATGAATTGATTGTTTATGTAGACAGAAAGCTGGCATTGAACTTCCTTTTATCCACAATAAAGTCGAGAGTGTCCACATTTCCGGTGATCTAACTCCTGCATATACTTCTTTAGGCTAAGATATGACAACATCTTTCTGATGAAGTGATGTAATCGTAATAAAACATTCTGTTGTATGAGTCTAATAGACCACATCAGAGAGGTTTGATTGGCATATCTGTCGATCAGGTCATAGAAGTACAGAGATGCATGCATCTCAACTTATGTTCAGCCAGCCTTAGAACATCAAGAGTACGCTAATAAGCGGAGCAGCAAGGTGTATTGTTTGAATAAACTTAATGGATTTAATGCATTCATAAGATGTTTGGTGAATAGGTAAATATTGCTCGTTTGCTATGGGGCACTTGAAAAAGAAAATAATTTACTGTATTTATAGGGAATTATTCGCTCTGTCTGGCAAGCATGCAATATTTAACTATCTACCTAACATTTTTATGAATGTATAAAGTCATTAGGCATAAAGATATATATATATATATATATATGATAAAGGACATCTGAAGTTAGCCAACTAGCTCTAGTCTCCGCCTCATTTAATGTGCTTCTATACATAATAGCAAGTCGATGAGTGTCCCATTGGAGTGCGTGACTTCAATATCCAGGACGGGTAGTCGTTCATATTACTCCACCATTGTAAATCTACTTCGTTCAGGAAGTTGGTTAATAAAATTGAGGAGTTCATTCAAATTTTCCTTAACATGCGACCAGAGTGCAAAGGGGTAATCCAGGTATCCCATAAGCACCCTTGTTTGCAGTGGAGACATCTCGAATTCCCTTTCAAATTTGTAGATACGAAGAATAATGGGTTTCGATGAATCTCCTGAGATAACATTGTTGAGGGGACTTTCATCTCGTATAAAAGTGCATGAAGAAAGGATTTGTGGGTCGATCTCACCAGAAGAGAACAGATGAATCCCGTTGCACTGCAGCCGTTTGGCTATTATACGACGTTCAAGTTGACGCAGTCCACGAGACCTTCTCTTTCATTTCTGGTGGAAATGGGCTGAGCTTTCGTCCATCATTCGATGAACATCATCACAGCTTGGTCTCAATTCTGTAAAAGTTTCACGTTGTCACTAAACCAAAAAGGTTACCGGCTCTATCTTACCTCTTATATAGGCTCAATTAAGCCAAAAGAAAATTAAAAACCTGGATTGATAGATATAGAATTGTTTGGCTAATTATCTTTCATACCGGTCCTGCTACTTTTGTCCAAGTATGTGCGTGTGTGTATGTGTGTGTGTTAGCGTCTATACGTAATACCGGTCCTAAATCAGAGTTATTAAAAGGCTAATGTCAGGCTCTGATCATCAAGGCCTAATGACCCTAGAGATAGATCTAACCAAGACTGCGTAAGTCCGTAAGCAGGTATGGTTGAGATGATGAGATATGAGCTTGTGAATATGTAAGTCAAGTTACAAAACCACTTGTCCTAACCTCTCAGTTTAGGGTCATTAACGTGTAACCCCCCAAGGAAAGGCATGACTGGGGCTGCATAATCTGGCATGTCTAGTTTGGTTGATGAGCTAAATCTAACATCTTGACCAGCTGTCGATTGGCTCTACTGGAAGATTCATGCTGACGCTGTTTCCGAGGCAATCTCCTTCGATTCCGGTGAAAACGTGCTGAGCTTTAGTCCGTCATATGACGGATATCATCAGAGCGAGGTAACATCGTGACAACAAAATTCAAGCTTATGAGTCAAGAAAAACGAAAGCTCAGCACATTTTTACCGGAATCGAAGGAGATTGCCTCGGAAACAGCGTCAGCATGAATCTTCCAGTAAAGCC